GGCCCAGCCTAGACACACACCAGCTCCGCCGCTCACCATGCTGGGAGAGAAGAAAGGTAACACGCTCTTGGGAGGAGGGATGTAAAAGGTCTGTCCCTTTCCCTCCAATGACTGGAGTTAAGACGCTCTCGTTTCCACAGACTTCCCGGGACTTCCTGGCAGTCTAGAAATCTCAGCAGCCTGTGAGAGTCTCACTCTGCCCTCCCCAGTCCCAGCCTGGCTGATGATGACACGGTGGGATTTGGACAACTCCTGTCTGGTTTTCCAGCACACAGCTAACATGGAGGAGAGCAGGGCTTTTAAACGGAGTTTCCCCCCTCGCTTCCTCCAGCTTGCCAAGCGTCAGGAAATCGTGGGTTTCCTGCTGCATTCCATATTAGGATCAGTGGGCCGGGAAGGCGGCAACAATGGGGCTCTGTGCGTGTGTTTGTACTTCTGGGGAACCAGGCCAGGACGCCCAGTGGGAAAACCCTAGGGGTCCCGTAGCCGGCCGAAGCGGTCAGACTTCCTGTTTTAAGCCCCGCTAGCCAGGCTGCTAGCCTGTGGCTGGGAAGAAGCCAAAGAAGAAAGGATGGAACCCGGGGAGTACTGTCTGCCACGGAAACGGGACGGGACTGAGTTGAGAGCAGAGAGAACCACATCAGGGCTTGCAGGCTAACATATGACATCATCCAGTGCTCCCTGACTCACCAGTTCAAAGCAAAGTGAAAACCGACACTTTTCTCTTTACTTAAACAAGAAACTCAAGCAATTCTTTTCTGCATTGAGGAAGAAAATCTTCCAGTCACACTGTTTCAAATGAACGTGTGTGTGTGTGTGGGGGGGGGACGACGACGACGGGATTGTGCAGGTTGTAGATATACTACATGTGATCAAGTTTATGAGTCCCCGTTTGGACACAATGCTTAGACATGCATTCCAGACCACACCCCCCAATCCCCTCAGGTTTTTACATAAAGGAAACCAACCAGACATGGGGCATTTGAAATTTTTCTTACTGTGCATATGCTGGGCTCAGGCTTCACCTCTCAGAAGTGAAGGGATACAGTGTTGCCTTTGGCTTGGTTTGAGTTCTCCAATGTTGTTTATGCTTGGCTGTTTCCCTTTTTGTTTGAATCATCACCTCCCGGGTCAGCCTGGCCCTCCTCAATGACATAGGAGCAGAACAGTTAGCTAATTTGTCTGGTACCTCAGAATGAAGCCTCATTTGATTAACGGGCCTGGTCTTCGAAATGTGACCCTGCAAATGATTTTGACAAATGGGTTCAAGTCAAAGAACTTTGTTTTTCTATGAGATTTTGAAGATTGCAGATTATCCAATGGCGTTGAGCAGTTTTACCAGGGCGGGGTTGAAGAAAAATCAGCTTTAGTAAGTACCTGTCAATAACCCACGTATCTACAAATCATATGCATGCTTGTCAATGTAGTAGAGCCCACATTTCTTCTGTTTTGGATTAGAGTAGCATTTGCAGTGATGCTCCGTGCCCCAACATTTCTTTTCTGTGAAAGAATAACAATTCACTTAGGACTAGAGTGCTAGGGATGTTATGTTGCCATAACAAACAATCCCCAAAGCTCAGTAACTTGGAAAATGACACGTTTGTTTGTTTGTTTGCTTACCTTGGATCTCTTCAGGACAGCATTGTCCTCTTTATTCAGGGTTGGCACTGATTGAACAGCCACACACACATGGATCACCATGGCAGGCAAGGAAATGGACACGGAGAAAAGGCTAGGAAGCAGCCTAGCTGGCTCAGCAGAAGGGTCAGGAGCACCATCCTACCCTGGGCTGGGAGGGAGGCACTGCATGCTGATGAACAGCCTGAATGACAACCAAAGATAACTTACTCTGGGGGCTGTCATGGAACATGAATGCTTCATATCAAACCACATGGAGAAGCATTTGAAGACCTCCATGGCTGCCTGTAAGCCGACGGAATTTTCTTTTCATTTAGTCTTTCTGGAGATCCTGGGGTATGTGGAATAAAAATGTAATTTAGAAACATACATTATACTTCTGCATAAAAGGCTTTTCGAGGATGATGGAGGTATTCCAACAAACCTGTGCAGATGAAGGAGTGATTGGCAGTGCAAACAGAACAGAACAGAACAGAACGGAACGGAACGGAACAGAACAAACAAACAAACAACAACAAAAACCAAACCAAACCAAACGAAAGAAACCCCAAACAACAGCAAGAATAACAACAAACTGGCCTGGAGGTGAACAGCATCACTAGAGCCAATGTGGTGATGGTTGGCAGAACTGTGAGGGCTTGTCCTTGACCTTTAGGCTGAGATTGCACAGTGACGATGGAATGCCACTCCATGCACAGAGATCTGAAACATGGCTCCCAGCCTGGTCAGCTATGCACACTATAAATACTAGGCCTATGTAAAGGCTTCAGGTGAGATTTTGCTGTTTCTGTGTGTAACCTAAATCTTGCACCACCAGACACAGATGGTTAAGCCCACTTTTTTGTTGTCAAGTAGATCTTTAAGACACTTGAAGAAGCTAGTTATGTGACCTTTAATCCATGGGTTGGTACTTCTGCCAGGTCGGAAGGCATACCCAAATGGCTTAGAGCTCTCCAGAGAATGAATGTTGGTTATATTCCCCACAATATAGTTGTTTTCATCACCAATTATTTCCCCTAAATTTAATAATTATAGAAAAAAGTTTTGGGCATTCTATTAAAAATAACAAAAAGTTAAAATCTTAGCATTTCAGCCTTATGATCAAGTGCATTGTCTGTGAAAATATTTTTTAATATTAAAACTTTTAAACATCAAGACTGGTATGAAAGTTAGGCCAGGTGGGGCAGTCCTTTAAGTCTAAAACTCAGGAGGTGGATCTCTGGGAGTTCAAGGCAAACTGGTCTATATAGCTGGCTCCAAGCCAGACAGGGCTATATAAATCATATCCTGTCTCAAACAAAACAACCCCCCCAACAGCAACAATAACAGTAAAACCAACATAAACCTGAATCTTAAGAACAATTCAGCATTGTTCTTACATGTCCAGGAAACCCAGGTTGAAAGACCAAGAATGTCCTCCCAGTCTAAGTGTTTGTCTGTATGAGTTTGGAAGCGGTATGGAGATTTCTGTCTAACATGCTCTTAGGCAGATGTTTGCTTTTGGGTCTTGAGCCATGTAGATGATTGACTGGTGGTTACATAGCCATCAATTATTTGGTTTACCCCATCACCAAGTTTATACAAACTTAACAGCGCGTAGTGAAATCTTGCTGGGTGATTTTTTTTTTTTTCCAAGAGACCTTAATTCCCTGGCTCACTTCTGTCTTCTGTGCTTTAGTTTCACAGGTGTTTATGTAAATGTCAGTTTAATACACACACACACACACACACACACACACACACATTTCACATAAATTCTGACTCATCTGATTAAGTCCCAGTTTTTCTGTGGCTTTAATAGAAGAAAGAACTTTGACTTCTCTCCCCTGTTTTCCCTCCAGATGCTGCAGTGGGAAGTGGCATAATTGGGTCAGATATTCTTACTCTGGGATAGTCTTTCTGTGGGAGAGTGTTTTGATTCCAGGCTTAGGAATGTGCAGCGTGCTATGGTTGCTATGATTGAAGGATGCCCAGAAGCCACGAGTCATCTGCCTTCCTGAGGAAGTCCTCCCAGAGGCAAACTGGTCTCCAGCACTGATGGGGATGATTTGAACGGGAAGGGCAACATTATGTAGTTCTAAGGGTTCTGACCCAAATATCCTCAAGATCGGCTAGGATGCTAACACTGAACAGAGTGTTCTAGGACTAGCTTGGACTGGAACTGCCCCTTCCCAAGGGGGATGAGTCACCTCCATCTGGGGTGCTCATGTGTCTGTATTCTTCGTCTTTTGAGTGCCTGCATTCGGCTTCCAGTTATTGCCAGTGTCACATACCATGTCATGGCTTGTCTTTTCTTGCGTATGACATTTTGTTTTATAATTCCAGAAATGTATTTCTTCTTACATTTGGAGGACTTTTCTTTTGTCCCCTAATATCCTAATTTTAAGAGAAATTAGGTAAATGAGGGGTGTGTGGGACTACTGTCTGCTTAAAGAGAGATGAGGTCTGTTTAACCAAGACATTAGGGGGGTCATTCAAATTTCCTTTCTCCAGAAAGTCAGGTGACATACCTGTAATCCTAACACTTGGAAGGCTGAGGCAGGAAGATCATCACTCTGAGGCCAGGTTGGGCTACATAATGAGACCCTGTCTCAAAACAAAAATGAAAACAAAACCAAAAACACAAAACCACACCAACAAATGAATAATAATGACAACAAAAACCCTAAACTAGCCAAAACAAACCTCAACAACACAGGCTGGAGAGATGGCTTTGGGAGGCAAAGTGCTTGCTGCATGCAGACCAGAGTTCTGATCCCCAGCATCCATGTAAATGGCAGTGGACATGGGGGCCCAGAGAGCTCAGTTGGTGAGACAGGGAGCCTCTGAGCAAACTGGCTAGTTAAAACAAACAAACAAACAAACACAAACTCTGAATTCAAATGAGAGGTTCCGCCTCAGTGTGTAAGATAGTGATCAAAGAAGCCACTCAGTGCCAACTTCTGACCGTCATATTCATGTACAGGCATGCGTGCCCACACATATGAATATGCATACATGTAAACATGCACACACTAGCAAAGTAAACAAAAATAATCCAAAAGAGAGACGAGTTAATGTATTTTTTCTGAGGACTTGGCAGGTCTCTAAAACTGGATAAACAGGCTGTGCTGTATATTGGGAATTATTTTAATTATTTTGACTCAACACAAAATGATGTACTCTTGAGTGCCCACAGGTTACCAGCCCTCCTACTGTTAAGACACTAATTGCAGGGGAAATGGATTCTACTGAGTGGACT